TCTTTTTTTGCCAGGAAGGAAATAGGCTTTATACTTTAGAATTTGGTTCACCTATATAGCTGTTTGTATTACCCTAATTCTTATGAAGTTGGCCGCGTATAACTATTTATTATATAGCAGAGAGTGAGATACTGAAAAATAGACAGTGAGATATTTTCCATATCTTCACTAGTGAAGATATCGATCACGTGACTTTTTCCAATTTGCTTTTCAGCGTGAAATTCACAATTTTTTGCTTGGGACTATATAATAAACAGAACATTACACGGTGGCTTGAAGATATGACTTTTATCTTCTCGTGTTAAAAACAATATTTTACTCACTCGCTGCGCTCGTTCGTAAAAGATTGTTTTCACCACTCGAAGATAAAAATCATATCTTCGCACCGCCGTGTAATATCCCCTATATATTGACGTTTTTAATGAAAATATGGTTGTTGATGATATCTTAGATAATTTCATTAGCTGCGAACATGAAATGTTTAATTGCTATAAGAAATTTTTTTTAACATATAGTCTTGATAATTGATTGATTGATGATTTCTGAACTGATTTTACTATACTGAATGCTCTATCACTTCTAAATTGAACGTTTTGTCACAGAGGTCCAGTGAAAGCCATGCCGGCTTATTTATCGAGTGTTAGGACACGAAGAATCCTATACTAAACTACTGTGGCTGTTTATACTGGATAGAGACAACCGGAGTATCTTTTGACGAATTATGACTACTGAACAATGTGCACATTCTATATCCAATCGAGTCCAACAATTTGTCACTTTGAGTATATACAAACCAAGTAAAAACATGCAGCGGTGTTTGGTGGAGTCAAACTGAAGGCAATCTTCTGCAACACGTGACGGCAAAATGAACAATCAGAAAACTCAGGTCACATGCAGGTTCAAGTCGGATGCACATTGTGTCATAAACAACCCAATGGACTCATCGCTTTGCATTCCACATATCTAATCATTAAAACACGTCGAATAAGACTGCAAACAGTAGAGTCGAAAGCTCTGTACATGTTTTTTAAATAACGTACCATGCAGGTGGTATCCAGTAGAAAAATTCCTTTGCTGGTAATCGTGGCGAAGATATCAGTGCATGTAACGCAATAAACGAGTCGGACACAAATTGGAATAATTATGGATATTTTCGTATTGCATAAGGTCCATGTCAGTTTATTAATTTTGTAATCAATGCCAGAATTATTAAAATAACAAATTATTAACCAGATTAGTTAATTAACAGTTAGCACAGAAAAGGTGGGGGTAATAAAACGCCCAGAGCTAACAAAACAACTGAACTCAAGTAAAGTTCAATAATCGTTGCGTTCAGAAACGAGGATCGAGGGTTGGGAACTAGCCGAGGAGGGTTGGGAAAACTTTTCCCCGTAATTTGCATTTTTCAAATTGGTGCACAAATCGTACTGTGGATCAACTATATTTAGCTGTAACTGAATATGGACTTGGCTATAATAATGAATCGCTGTAAGAATGCAGTACCAAAGCAAAGCTATAATTGAAAATGTTAGATGAACAAGATCAGTGTTGCATTACCTGAAAATGGAAAAAATAGTTTAATATCGCTTGGATCCTGAATTTGCTTTTCTAGAAAATTAATGTCACTGAAAAGTGCTTAAAAAATGGAAAATTTGACCATTTTTGACTTTATGTTACGTATATCTCTAATGACAGCAAAGGAAGCTATAGTATAAATATATTGTTGATAGGTTATATTAACATTTATGCTAATCATGCATGGAAACAGTATAAAAATGATAGGTTCATATTATGTAGCTTGCATTAATAGGTCCTATATGATAATAAAGCAACATTAACAATATCAAAACTAATTAATGAAAAAGTGTTCCTCAAAATTTGTCTATATATAGGCAAATTAATGTTCCTAATGAACCAGGATCGCACTTTTGTCAGGTTCGGTCTGAAAATGAGAATCTTAACTGTTTAAGCAATGTATATAAAGGATCAGCAGCCGGTGCGTGTGTATCTGATTGTGCAAATGAATACTATTTATAGCCAGAGTCAAGTTTATCAATTATTTTGGCGATGTGGTTTGTTTTAACCGAGAAAAGCGAACTAAATTTGGAAGAAAGCTGTATTCGATACCGATATTTATCGCTTTCTTTAAGTAAACTACAACTGGCGGATATCTTGTCACGATTAGGTCTTTTTTCTGAGCTTGATATACGCAATAAACCGGCGAGTCGGACACCACTTGGAATAATTATGGCAATTTTCGTATATTGCTTACAATTGTAGCGTGCATGCATGACAGTTTATTAATTTTGTAATCAATGACATAATTATTAACATAACAAATTATTAACATGATTGGATTGGATTGGAAAACTTTATTTAATTAAACAGGTTATATAGCCTCTTGCATGGCAGTTTATTCATTTTGTTATCAACGACATAATCATATTAACATAACAAATTATTAACCAGATTGGATTGGATTGGAAAACTTTATTTAAACAAGTTATACAGCCTCTTAAGCTGAAAGCTGGTATTCATGAGGGACCTGTATTTAATTTTTTTACACAAATATATGTAGTAATAGGATCTAAACATGCAATTCACACTATCAATTACGTAAACAATTCCAAATTAGAGTTTTGAAACTGTCCTTGCCTCTTTAACTCTAATAGGCAATTATTATATTACCACGTTCAAGCTTCATCTTAGGAAGATGTAGATCTTTTTTCTCCTTGTGTTGCATTGATGAATCTTATAATTTTGAGTAATAAGTTCACTTATATTACAAGGATAAAGGTCATTTAAACATTTATAAAGAAAAATACAAACATGAATTTCATAATTCTTCTTTGTAAACTTATCCAGTATAAAACACTAAATGTGTCAACAGAGGACCATCGTTGTAATTCTTGACTGCAACCTTCCGATAATTGTGCCCAATAATTTAATTGATTAACAGTTAGTACAGACTGAAAAGGTATATGGGTAATAAAAGCGCCCAGAGCTAACAAAACTAGTAAACTAACATAGAAGTTCAATTATAATTATTGCGTTCAGAAAAAAACGGGGTAGGACAAACATGATTTTAAAATTAAGCTGATCGAGATATTGCGCTAACTTACCGCAGAGCAGAATACATTCATGTGACCATAAAATTACGGGGAATTATATGCTTGTACGTGTCCAATGCCAATTTCGTCTATTTGTATATCACAAGCTCGAGATGAAAGAATGTTTTATTGCTGTTAAATATCAATAATTCCTTCATGTCTTCCTTTAATTAACAATAGGCCTACATCTCTGAGAAATCTTGTCATGTCAGGTCAGCTTATGGCTGCCTATTGACATCCATGCATGATCAATCCCCTGGAGAAGCTCAGCTTATCTATAAACAAAGCGCGTGAGCAGATATATTGGCCACAAATATACTTACGAAAAGCGAATACATTATATATAATTGAGTATGGGCATCAGTAAAACTGCATTCCGACGCAATGTTTGCCACACCAATGCAAAAATCAGAGACCATGCTGCATGCACGTGCACACCGAGAATTAGCGCTAAATAGTCAGTGAGAAGTTTACGGTGAAACTCCGTGGCCATATCGTGCATCCGAGATCGTGCATGTGTTCGAAAGGGATTGGGCCATCCATCTAACAAGCCATGACGTGCAAAATAGTATGCAAGTAAGCTCTGCACTGTGCATCAACCTCGTACCCAGGTTCTTTCCTCTTGGCGAGGGGAGAGAAGACCCTGGTAGTCGGTGGTCACGTGATCTGCTAATATCTAGCAGATTTTATGCATCAATGAATATATGCATGCATAATCAACAAGTCGGACAACCTGATTTAATACCTCCTTTCGATAATTACGTCACAACTACACTGTTTTCAACTTTATAGGACCACCTTAAATGGAAAGGATTTCAAGTTTTATTCTCATGGGATATGCACAGAGAAGCAGAGCATCATTCTTCGACACATGCGCGAAAAAAGTTTAGATTTTGATCACTAAATATGGAAATAAGCATTAACACGAAAATGTCATAATCTGGAGCCTCGTTTTCGTGTTAAAGCTTATTTCCACATTTATTGATCAAAATGAAGAACTCTTTTTCATGCATGTGTTGAAGAAGGATGTTCTGCTTCTCTGTGCATATCAAACTTGAAATCCTTTCCACTTAAGGTGGTCCTAAGTTGAAAACAGTGTAGTTGTGACGTAATTATCGAAAGGGTGTGTTGAGAACGCGTCTTGTGACCTTGGACGAGAACTAATTTCCAAAGAACGTCAAAAGACGAAAAATGCCGCCGTATACTCACAGCTTTGAACATGTAGGCACATATGGTTGAGGGTTGTCGTAGAACAATGCGGCTGTGTAGGAATGGGTGGGTGGGTCCAAGCAAGGCAATGATAATAGCCGAGTGCAGAGACATATATAAGTGCATGTTGACGGTCGAGACCATAATTGCGCCAAAAAAATGCAAGCCATAAAGAAACCTATATAGTTTGGAACCTGTAACCGGGATAAACTATCAGCTGAAGCATTCTTAATACCATGCAAAACATGACGACAACGAAACAAAATATTGAACTTCAAAGATAGCAGCACCTGTCGCCCACCAAAATCACAACATTCACGTCATGAGGAATATAGCTTTATTGTTTATAAGTAATTTATTTATTTCCAATTTTCTTCATGATTTATTAATGATATTTTATAAAAAAATTAAAACTAATTTGCCAATTTACCTCACTCACTTTCTAAGGAACAGAGCTTCCGAATGAGAAAGTAACTAAAGTAGTATAAATACTGTCACGTCAAAGCGAGCTACTTCAATCTCTGGTGATGTTTGCTTATTGATCGACCATGACGCATCTCTAGATCCCCTCGCTTATTTTTCGTGGCTTTTTATTCCCTAACGTCTGTATCCACATACTAGATTAAATAATCTATGTTGCCAGTAGAACACTTTTATAACGTCTATACACTATATATTTCTGAGAATTTGACAGTAAGACAGACACGAGATCATAATTTTACGATATTGTGTACGCGTACTAATGTTTTATACAGTAACAGTGAGGACCAAGTGATAATACTGGATACAATTTTGATCATGTTGCTGGATTGATAGATATAAATATTTTTCACGCATTCTTTAGATCTCAAGATCTTAAACTTCAAACGCGTTGGGCTGAACATTTTGACGCTGTTCATCTTGCTAGCAGTTGTAGAATCTAGTCGTGAAATAACAGGTAATTCGAAGCGTTAGCTTTCTTCCATATATTTAAGAGTTATATTAGTTATCTTCCATATATTTTTATAATATATTTGAAATAATTTCAACCAATGACTTGTAGGCTAGTATAAAGATTATACGCAAGCGTTTCTACTTCCAAAAATGCTTATTTCACATAAATAGCAAATATTTTACGTCATTGCGAAAAACTTATTTTTCGCTGCTGTTCTTTACAACTGTTGGGAGCTACCTTAACTCAGTGCCGAGGCCAGCCCGGCAATTTGGTCATGCTATGCAAATTTTAAATCATTATCGTTATTCATTTCTTTAGAAATTGATTGTTTTCACGGTCTGTGAACGCGGATATATTTGCATAGCATGCATGACCAAATTGTCGGGCTGACTTCGCCACTGCCTTGACTTGTAGTTGTAACCACTCTTATCTAATGTATCTTGATACGGAGGACAAGCTGAATCAAATGCTTGTTCGTCAGACGAGATGTTGGACAATCGATTGTTAATTACATCAGGGATTTCCTTTTAAACCGCGGGCGGATGCATGATTACTCTGATGATGGGCATAATTATTGAATCGTGTTTCTTGCATGGTTTCATGTATGGTTTGAACAAGGAAGCTCTTAGGTCAAATGTGACGTTAAAAATGTCAAATATGTTAATTGTTAGCTTCAATTGTAATCTTTAAATTAAATTGTGTTCATTGAAAGTTCTGCAAATCTGCTTCTTGATGTTTTCTATTGCTGCAAGGCAAAATTCGATAAAAAAGGGAAAAATGCGACATGGTGGCCAGTTTTATAAAAAAAACCGTATTTTTTTCGAACTGATAGACACAAAACAATAGTGTTCGCACAAACTCGATAAAAAAAGAAAAATATGCGACATGGTGGCCAGTTTTACAAAAAAAGATTACAGTCGAAGCTAACAAAAAATGTGTCAACTACCTAGAGTCACATTTGACCTAAGAGCTTCTTCATGCAAATCATGCATGCATACATCAGGAAACACGATTCAATATGTCCATCGTCGCGCCTGCAGAGTATAATCACCTGCCATGACGCAATTAACAATCAATTGTCCAACATCTCGTGTGACGTACCAAGATGCCTTACATAAGAGTGGTTACAACTACAAGTTAAAATACATTCCCCAGCGGACAAAGACAAAACGCACTAGAAACAGAAACGTTATATATGGTTTAATCCACCTTACATAACTCGAATGTCAAAATAAATATCGGACACAAATTCCTCCAAGCAATTGATATCTGATTTCCTTCCTAAAAACAAGCCTCTCCATAAACAGCTACAGCTGCATGCCCAGCATCCGTAATAAATATAATTTCTGGGCACAATAGCTAAATCGGTAGTACATAAGCTCACCTCAACAGATGCGTCAACATGCATGCAGTACGAAACCAAGACGACAGTGCAATTGCAGGAATAAATCCTCATGTCCACTATCCGGTAAATGTCTAACACCCAGCGTAGTACACCAAGGAACGGTTGCTTGGAACGATACGAACAAAAAGGAATAGTATATATGTTGGACATACAGAAGGAGAGTTCAAAACAAGATATAACTACCACACTAGTTCATTCATGCAGGTTTTAAACATGAAAGTAGGCTATAGAAATGCGACAGAGCTGAGCAAATACATCTGGCAAATTAATTTAATTAGAGTCCAAGGTTAAGTACTTTAAACAATGCAAGAGTTACAACAACACAACAAAACGCTGCAGTCTTTCAGTTTGTACACATGAAAAATGCGTTATTATCTACCACCCTGAATTTCTTTAAATTCAAGAAGTTCGTTAAATTCAAGAAGTAAACTTCTATCGAAATGCAGACATAGAAACAAATTTCTCTTAAGCAATATATATATATATATATATATATATATATATATATATATATATATATATATATATATATATATATATATATATATATATATATTTATATATATTTCAAACTCAAAGTTTGTAAACCAGGGGGGGGGGGGTGTCTTTTCCAACAAACTAAAAATGGCTTGCGCACGAAATTTAAAAGCTTTAATCATATTTAGAGTTAATAGACAAAAAATTTGTTGGGTTTTTAATTACTGTAAAAAAATTCAGACAATTTGCTTTGGTTTAAGTCCTTTAACTATTCATATTATCCTAAAAATCAGCCTTTCGCATTAATTAGCATGCAAATAGCTGAGTTTTAGGAAACAAGACGCTCTACGGAGCGTTAACTCGCTGGGGCTATATTAGACTTGGTTGAAGTCCGTCTCAGGAGAAAAGTGAGGAGAGACGGACTTGCAAAAATTGGCGCGAAAATTTGTTGTTGTTCTCAACTCCGTAGGAAAAATCCGCGCGCTTGCAGGGTATCCAAGTCCGTCTCTCCCTAATTACTTTTCTCTCATATTTTCGCACCTTTTTTGACCGCTCGCGTGCATGGCTATTTTCAACCCCTTGAGAAACGGACTTGAACCCGAGTCTAGGGCTATACAAATACGCATATTACTGTACATGCTATTTCAATTAGTACACAGTACACAGCTATTTCAATTAAGATTTTCCCCGAGCTAAGCGGAAAAGTCGAACTCTGGCGCGAAAGGCTTAACACAGTTTAATAGTTTAATAATCACATAGTTTAATAATTTTGAGCGATTTGTCAACAATACAATTTCGCTTGGCTTTCAAAGACAAAGGCCATAAATCGCTAGAATACTGTTATTTGCAGGGGCGCCGGAAGCAATGTGAAGCGGCGGGGGCAGCCATTTCAAAAGGGCACTTGCTTCCCAATCATCATTTTTCAGTGTGCGGAAATATTTGTTAAAAATTTACTGTATGGATACTCGATTATATTACTTGTGGCTATTATGGGTCGGCAAACTTCGACCGATTAATTTTGAACAATTTCATTCGTTGCACCGTGCTAATGGCGCAAAAAAATCATTATACGGATGTATATTGCCTGATTTAGCATTAATTTTACTACAACTGGTTAAAAATTAAGCAAAGATTGCTTAAACATTGCTTAAAAATAGTTATAAATTCCAATTCCTGTGAATAACGCACGAATTTCGAAGTGCAGTTCCGGTAAAAAGGGCAACCTGTTGCCCCCGTGCTGCCCCCGCACTGTTTGGGCAACAGGGGCAGTTGCCCCCGCTGCCCCTGGTTATTTGGTAATACTGTATATTTGACATCCGTAATTAGTACAACTTCTAACGCTGAATCGAACGGCGGTATTTTTATCCTTATTGCACCATTTAGGCATTACAAATACACTATGAAACGTACTGCGAGTGATTTGTCAGCAAATACGTACTGCGAGCGATTTGTACTCGGTTAACAATACAATTTCGCCTGATTTTCAAAGTCCATAAATCGCTAGAATACTGGTGTTTAGTAATACACTTGTCATCCGTAAGTACAATTTCTTAAGCTGAATCGAATGGTTTCGCTTTCTTCTCAAAATACAGTATAAAGCAGCGCAGCCAAACGTAACTTGCGATTTGAGAAGATTGCTCTTTCCAAATTGAAATCGAGTTCTATGAACCCTTATTTAGTAAATTGGTACTTAAATTTCTTAAAAGATCGAAGACAGAGAATAGTTTTCCAAGGAACGACATGCAAGTGGAAAGATATTAACAAGGGAGTTATGCAAGGAACTGTAACCGGACCACATTTCTTTAATTTATTTATTAATGATTTGGAGATTAAAAACTGTTCCAACACCCCTTTGTTAAATTCGCGGATGATTCCTCACTTTTGGTACCGATTTTGAAGAACACCCAAGTTTGTAATTCTAAAGATATAGATGAATTCAAGGACTGGTCCGAATCAAACTCATTACCTTTAAATGAGGGTAAATGTAAAGAAATGATTATATTAAACAAAGGACGATCAGAGGATTGTGTATCACCAATTTATGGTTTTGAACGGCACTCTAGTCTTGAAATACTGGGGCTAACCTAGTAACCTTTGAAATGACAAGCAGATTTGAGAAATGTATCAAGAAAAAGTTGGTGAAAGCAAATAAATGCTTGTTTGTAATTCGAAAGCTGAGGAATAAAGGATACAGTCAAGACGAATTAGGTCTTCTTTTTAGGTCACTGGTCCTGTCACAACTTACCTATGGCTTATCAGTCATTGCTGCATCACCGCCGGAGTTAACAACTATAATTCAAAACTTCTTAACTCGTTGTTATAAAAGAAGATACACCGCATCAGAACAAATAGATACTAGTAATATACTGTTAGAGCAGACAGATAGAAAGCTGTTTGAAAAGCTGTGTAAACAAAACAATCATCCGTTAAGAGAAATTTGTCCAAAAATTAAAGAATATACATTTAAACATAGAACACAAGAGGCACAGTGGCCAAACATTTCTACCGAGCGTTTTAAAAATAGTTTCATCAATAGATGTATTTTTAGATATAATTTAGCTTTGCAACTCTAATATAACCTAAAAAATTTTTAATGTTAAAAACTTGTAATATATTTTAAAATAATTGATTTGTAACACTTGATATGTAATTTATCAATTGATTAATAATAATAATAATAATAATAATAATAATAATAATAATATATATATATATATATATATATATATATATATATATATATATATATATATATATATATATATATATATATATATATATATATATACAGGGTGTATCAAAAAAAGCGCAATCCTCGACTGAAATGTAAATTGCTAAACAAATACTAGACGAAAACGTTAAAGTTTACATTCATTTTAAAGCGTAGCCATTCAGCTTTCTAACAGTGGGTTGTTTCTTAAATTTGACTCATTGGTTCGCGGGTAATAATACTTTACGTTATTGCGATTGGAGATTAAAAAAATTGAGATGGAATACAAATCGTTCTCATGAAAATAACTGATTTTTTTCATTAAAACAAAAAAATGTTGCATTTTATTAAATGGATTGTAACAATAAGTATAATTACGGCTTTTCTTCCATTATTTTTAACTCAGTTTGAAACTTCAAATGCGATATAATTTTGGCTTGGACCATCTAAGCTGACTGACATCAACTTGCTATAATTTCTGTTTACATTACATCGCAATTCGATGACACTCTGGCTCAGACACCAGAATGTTTTGACGGTTTTTAGCATTCGTTTAGGATTTTCAAACAACCTGGTCTCTTCTAAAATACTTCTAATTTGTTCTTACGTGGTTTTCCAGATGTTGAGTGACGACAACATTGAAGTTTAAAGAAGAAAATTCTAACATTTAAACCGATTAAACAATAACATAGTAAGCTTGCATAATTAAACAGCAACTAAAAATGATAGGTTTTACTAAATCTTTTCCTGTGCAATTATTACTAGCATTGGAGACAAGGATAATAGTTTGTTTGAAAGAGAAAAGAACAGGCTTTGAAGTAAGCCTAAAAGCGTTTAACTAGAAATAGTATTTCGAAAGTTATTAAGCACAAAAGATGAATTTCGTTTATTTTGATACACCCTGTATATATAATATACTAATAGCTGTTTTGCGAAATTGAGAGCAAAGTCAAATCTGTTCAGTTTTCTTTTATACACCCTGTATATTGATTATAATCAAACCTATATATCATTCATCAATAAATGATCCTTTTGTTTTAGGGCCACAAAGAGAAGTTGTTTCAAACCTGAAGCGCATTATTCAGCCTTCGGCTCAGAGACGTTTCGCGGTGTTGTCGCTTGTAACTCAGGTCTCTGCTGCAAGTAGACGTGATTATGACACCGTAACATTAATCTGTGTGAATTTTTCTTTCAGTTTCAGAAGATTATTTCAATGCGAGCTATTCGAACAATCCTGCCAATCTGCAACGTTTGTGTGATGTTTGCAAACGTCCTCAACCAAGATATTATCTCGCTCACAGGCATGAGATCGTTTTGCCGCAATTTAAATATCTGGCGTACCAACAGTGCTTGCCAGGCTGCGTAGTGGTAAAAAAGAACACGTCCAATAAGAAAATTACCTTTACAAGTAATAGGGAGAAGATTGTCAACCTTACAAATGACATTTCATGCGAGGCTTATGATGGATAAAAAATACATGAAATCTATAAAGATACATGAATACACAAGAATCCTCAGAAGATCCAGTTGAAACGGGCTTAATCAAGGCGACAAAAGCAAGGAATTGATTTTTATGTACTGGAGACGAAAGATCTATCTGGACGAATTTAGGAAAATAAATGTAGTTCGTCTGATTTAACTCGCGAGTAACTAACAAATGATCTTACAAATTCATCAACTCATTTGATCTTGCATGCATAGTTGATCTTGATAATTGATTCTTATGTTTGCTGTGCTTAAACACAGATAAATTATCAGACGAACTGTATTATTTAATTTTCCTTTGTGCAGAATTTTCAGACAGATCATCTAAAATAAGCATAACTTCCAGGATAATTCATATTAAATCTAATTATTGAAAATACGTTTCTGTGTTGGCGGCGCTGGGCCGCTGGGGAAGATTAAGGTTACTCCACATGATGAAAGTCCATCTCAGGAAAATGCTCGCTGCGCACTAAATTTTTAAGTCCCCCCCCCCCCTCAAATTTGGCACTCACAACGATAAATCATTGCTGCTATGACGCATGCACTTCGCGCGACGAGCTTTAGAACCATCCGATTAAACTCAGAAGCTTCCGAAATATCACATTTCCCATAAGTTGACTCATCAAAAATTTGCAATAACGATAGAACAGAAGCCTATAATTTGAAAACTAAAGCATTAAAAGAAAAACGCGAACACGGTTTTGCTCCTCTGATGTTGTTCTATATTGTGGTAAAGTTTGGTACCAATTAAATAAGACGTGCCCGTTCCATAACTCGTTTTGTGAGGACAACCGGGCTGATAATTCCTTCTCTGTAAAAGACAAAAAGTGATTTCGCGGAGATTTTTCGTTCTCTGTTATGTTTCTCCGCCCCCTTTCATCACTTCAAACTGAAGCCAATCAGGTTCGACTTTTAAAGTGTGTTTTGGCTGGGTTTCATTTTGACTCAGCATCAATGATAAGGTGATAAGCAAGCGCACTTTATATAGTTATATATACGATTGATCGCTTTTTAAACCGGCGTTTTACTTAGAAAGCAAAGTTCACTGTCTTGTGTACGTGTACGAACAATATTACAGTGATATAGCTATATCTAAAACAAACAAGCCGCCCAATGTTGAATACCGCCACAGATGTGTAACATGCACCCTGTGGCCAAACTTATCCACAAATTGTCAATCACAATTAAAACTTTCCCGGGGAAAAAACTTAGTTAGACTATAACATTTTCGGTTATATTTCGGTTGCATTTTAATATTTTCAAAAAATATTTGCGCAAATGGAAAGATCTCTAGCCTATAAAAATGTAAAAAAGGACAAAATCAATGTTTTCATCATGTGGAGTAACCTTAAGAGAGATAACAATTATGCAGCCTGATGGTGTATTAGAGAGAAGGCTCAATAAAGTAGAGCTTTTTAGAGATAGAAGCTTATAATATTAGAGAGGGGTGTATTCTGCTATAGAGAATTGTCGAATAAACGGGAATTATTATATGGCAAGCATCACTTCCGGTAAATTGCGGACTGTGATCGGCTAAGCACTTTCGGCGGTCGAAAACAAAACAGCAAAACTAATAGAAATTTAAGAATTGTAATTTAATTTGTTATTACCAAAATATCTGCGAATGGTTTTCAGTGGAAAAATAGGAATAGATTGGTATCTTTTGTTTTCTTCAACCAAATGTGCATGTACCACGCTGTACAGACCTCGCGTTGGGTAAATAATTAACAATTATTTGCCGAAGGCGAGGTGATTATCGGTGAATAAAAACCGAGACGAAGTCGAGATTTTTCTTCACAATAATCAACGAGCCGGAGGTAAATAATTGTTTTAGTATAATTTCATAGGTGGTTATTTGAAAAAAAAATTAAAATACACATTTCTTCGTCATTTAATTGACAAAACGGCTTCGGCCGTCATTTCGAAAATCGCTTAGGTGATTATCGCAACATGAGCTCCACCTTTGAATTTACTATATGAGTAAATTCTTAAACACGTCCGAATTTATCATTATGATAAATTCGCGGCACATTTTGAATTTATCAATAGAGTTAATCATAAAACCACAATCATTGCACAAGGTTTCTTGTTATAAATGTAATGGCACTAAAGGGAGGCCGGTCGCGCAGGGGTGGGGAGTTTTGGGTATAGACTTCAGTATAGTCATTACCATTTTTGGCGTTTTGTACAAAAACGTATAAACATAATTAAAAAATAAGTTTGAAATGATCGTGTTGTCATGGCAATACTTTAAACATAACGCGAGTCTGTGTGCAAAAGCTTTTCCCAAAGCCGACGGCGCCCGTGCGATGGTACTAATTCCGCACGGCTAATTATACCCGGGTATGTGAAAACATAGCGAAGTGCAAAATTTCCCCCCATTTTGTTTATGTAATGGACGGTTTTCGACGTTATGCGCATGCGCGAGTACAAGCTCTGTCTAAGTAATTGTTTTTCATTTTCAAAGGACGTATTTTGATGTTTTACAGCAATTTTTTGTTTTAAATTTCGTTAAAAAGTTTACAAAAATACAAAACTTTTTTTCTTGAATTTTAACTGGAAATAAGCCTGCAGTTTCATGAATTAGTGGCTGTTCAACCGTGAAACAAAGTTTGTATTAAATAATTGTTTTGATGTTTTGATGTTGATATTTTTAATAATTTAATCGTTGTTGAGCCGGTTTGAGTAACTGTAAATTACACTTCAGTAGTAAAACTCCATGTCGTATTTGCTTTGTGTTGTCGATTTTATTCATATTTGCGAAATTCTTAAGACTCTTAAGCCATTAACTCGGTAATTCACGATTAATAATGTGTTTTTATGCAAGCTGGTATACATAAAATTGCAGGGAATGTTATCGTTTAATAATAAACTAGCGCATCAGTTGTGTTTTTATGTTTGTTTATAATCAACTTATGGTCTTAATACTTTATGTGGATTTTTTATACTTCATCTGTTAAAGACCATGTCAAGTCCGTAATGTAAACGAATCCTTTGTTTACATTTTGAACTGCTCTATTTGTAAAATAAGACATACTACTGAATATCGAACACTTTTCTGGTTCACTATTGTAAATGAATATAACTCATGTAAACTAGAGTAAAATTTGGGCAATGTTTATTTGTAGTCTAGGACCTGTATATAAGTTTGTATGCATTTCATTTAGGACAGATAATTTCAACTGTTTTATGACGGTCGACATTATAACGCTGCCCTAACTCCAATCCAGGACGAAACGTCCGAAACTGACCACAGCCAAAAACGACGCTTTCGCCATGGTGCTATAGTACCAAACCATAAAAGCTTTGGCTATTCTGAGGTGCTTATATAGTTCAGAGATGGTGCTTTTAGGGGTGGTCATTGGTAAGTGTGAAATGCCTAGCACTGATATTTCACAAGAAAATGGCCATGCAATACTCATAGTCAAACGTCAATTTGTGGCTTACAACTTCCGATAAACAGCAGTGCACCTACATTACCTTTTTTCCAAAATCTTTTTGATAAAATAGTTAATACTTTGTGACCGAAATAATAATTTGAGATGTACCTACCTCCTGCATATGGACATATTTGGCCAAATTCTGCACTTTATTCCGCGGTTTCCCGCCCATCTCTTTGAAGTCCTTCCAAATATGTACGTCAACTCAGACATAATGGAATCAAGCACACTTTAAATAAATTTTAACTTGGATTCAAGTATAGATCCTAGCTGTTTAACCATCGACAAGGTAAAACCTCAACTTTGTCCAAATTCGGCGCCATTTTGTCATCCCGTGTCGGTTGTCGACAGTTCGGCCTTGTTATTCTTCCATCCAAGCCATTTCGATTGCACTACTGAATAACAAATTTAACCCTTCACAAGGGTACAAAACTGAAAAAAATATGAACAAAATATAAGAAATGCAGCATTTTATCACCCTGTAAAATGTTGCTTACGAGTCTTTCAAAACATTCCGTACAAATCTCGCGTGGCAAAGTAACATGGACGTGACAGGGGGGTGCAGACTTTAAAGATTAAAGCAAAGCAAACGCACGCAGTATTAATAGCAGTAGCTGTAGTATGGTAAGACCAACAATCAACATTTAATTTATAGTATGACATGCTCATATAATATGTATTTATTTGTCGCTACGCAGCCTTCTTCTATCTTTGTGAAAAAATTCACCCCCTCCCCCCTGTCACGTTCCTGTTACTTTGTCACGCGAGATTTGTACGGAATGTTTTGAAAGACTCGTGCGCAAAAATTTACAGGGTCATGATAAAATGCTGCATTTCTTATATTTTGTTAATATTTTTTAGTTTTGTACCCTTACAAAGAGTTGCATTTGTTATTAGGGCAATCCGCAAAATGGCTTGGATGCAGGAAGAATAACAAGACCGAATTGTCGACAACAGACATGGGATGACAAAATGGCGCCGAGTTTGGACAAAGTTGAGGTTTTACCTTGTCGATGGTTAAACAGCTAGGATCTACTTGCATCCAAGTTAAAACTTATTTTAAATGTCTGAGCTGACGTACATATTTGGAAGGATTTCAACGAGATCAGCGATAAACAGCGGAGTAAAGTGGAGCATTTGGCCAAATACGTCCATTTGCAGGAGGTAAGTACATCAGAACACTTAACGTCTTTTCCCCCGGGAAATAGTTTTGTTTTCCCGGGAATCTCAATGTTTCCCGAGACGAAGTCGAGGGAAACATTGAGATTCGAGGGAAAACAAAACTAACTATTTCCCGAGGGAAAAGACGTTAAGTGTTTTGTTATATAGCGACGAAACAAATATCAACATTGAACAACATTCATACAACAATATTTGTATTTCATGACAAAATCTCTATAGCGTAAACGAGTTTAAAATTTAAAAACCTACTTAAATGGTTTCAGCAGCATATCCTGTTGCCTGTTATGTATTTTTCTTCTCTTTTACATTCTTTATTTTAACACAAAGCCACGAAAACAGTAGTTTAAATAGTGATAAATTTGTGCCGCCATTTTGTTTATTTATGTACGTAGCCGGTCGGGGCGGGCAACAATTTTTCACTTATTGCCCGGGCGGGATACATTGCATTAGTCTAAAGCCACGTGACTACAAATCAGC